CTGTGGGAAAAAGACGTAACTTATTTAACAACCCCATTGCTTAGCAATGGAAGTTCCAGCCCCAAGTGTGGTTGTTAGTCAAGGACTACCTGGATGCTTCTTTATAGCAACGCCCACCCACCTTTGCTATTTTGCTATTAGCGTCTCCTGACCTGGAATCTTGCTTATACTTGCTTTCTGGTGATTAATGCACGGTTAATGGTTAGATTAATGGCTTGCATTATTTTGCTTGTTATACCTTCCATAAAAGCACATCCATCAGGTTTTTTTTTTTTTTTAAAAAAATCAAGCTTATAGCTCTAATGGTTGCCAGGAAATCCATGTAAAAGGGTTCTGTCATCACTAGGAATCCTGCTGAATTGGCTTCTTTGTGACTAATGTTGCACGGCATAGCTTGCTCCTTCCTTCCTTCCTTCCTTCCTTCCTTCCTTCCTTCCTTCCTTCCTTCCTCCTTCTTCTCTTCTTCCCTCTCCAGAGCTTTCTTATCCACCTCTTCCCAAATCCACTTTCTTGAGCTGATGCAAAGGAGGGAAACAGTTGTTGGTTGGCTGAGGAATGTGTTCTTTATCCACCATAGCAATGTTTCTCAATTTTGGCAACTTGACTTCAACATGGCTGGCTGGGGAATGTTTTGGAGTTGATGTCCACATATCTTTAAGTTGACATGGTTGAGAAAACTGGTCTAGAGCAAGTTGAAAATGTCAGGCTGGGGAATTCTGGGAGTTGCTAAGATTGTGCTCTAGAGGGAGATTTGGATAGAGTTAAGAAATATTATATTACCCCACCTGGTTTATCCTTGTTGTTACTTAAAAACGGGATGTAAAGGCAGCCGTAGAGACAGTTATATTGAGCTGCTTTGGCTTTCTATATTAAGTCTATAGGAAGATTGATGCTGAGTGCTTATTTTTGTGGGTTACATGCTGTTGCCATCTTGTCACAAAAAGCATTCTGGAGCCTTAAATGTTAAATTAAATATAGAAATACGATCGTAATTACCAGAATCTATGTGATACTCATTCTGCTCTTCCCTGTGATTGGAAAAGCCTAAAGCATGAACTGTACACCAGCTGCAGTCAGAAACAAAGAATGAGGCAGGGGATTATGGACATTATGAAGAACTGGTCAGGGTTGGTTCCTAGCCTGATACAGATTCAGGAAGCTGTGCTGCCAATTGTTCAGCCTTCTACATCGGGGTCGCCAACCTTTGGGACCTCAGGGACCACCAAACTCATCATTTTAAATCCCGTGGACCAGAGACCCTGGGAACCCCCCCCCCAAAAAAAAAAGTCTGCAGGAAAATTCCCCACCCCATTTTCCTATCGATCGATCATTCTTTATTTGGGATCGTAGGATGCCGTTTCCAGCTCCGTTCTTGGGGTGGGGGGGTTGGCTTCATGCAAGGAAAGCATCAGAAGCAGCAGAAGTCTTTATTTCTCTCCCCCAAACTCCACCAGAAATGAGTCTTTGTGACACTTGTGCCAATGCAGCCTCTTGGAACAGGATACCTTGCAGGGTCCCAAAGACTCATTTCTGGCCGAGTTTGGGGGAGAGAAAGAAAGACTTTAGCTGCTTTCCTTGTGTGCAGCCAAAAGCAGAAGGAGAAAGAAGCAGAAAGAAGCACCCCGGTGGCCAGGCCAGGCGTGTGGGATGAGTGGGGCAAGCTTCCCCCCTCTGCCCTTTCCCCCCTCCACTCACTACTTCGTGTTGTTCGCAAAGCAAGTGACGCAAGCTTTGTGTTCCTGCGGGCCATGTGGGTGGCACAGCCTTGTGTTCCCGCGCAGCCTGGATTAATTGCTTTGGGGTGACATTTCTCTGTGGACCACCAAAATTTTCTCGTGGACCATCAATGGTCCCTGGCCCGCTGGTTGGCAACCACTGTTCTACATTATAACCAATAGTCGATTCTCAGCCATAGAAAAAACATTGATGACTTAATGCAGGTAGTCCATGACTTAAAACAGTTCATTTAGTAACTGCTTGAAGTTACAATGGCACTGGAAAAAGTGACTTATGACCATATTGCATACTTATGATGGTTGCAGCATCCCCATGGTTACGTGATCAAAATTGGGATGCTTGGCAACTGACTCACATGTATGACGTTTGCAGTGTCCCAGGGATCATGTGATCCCCTTTTGTGACCTTCTGACAAGCAAAGTCAACGGGGAAGCCAGATTTACCTAACAATCACGTTAGTAACTTGACAACTTCAGTGATTCACTAAACAACTGTGTCAAGTAAGGTTTTAAAATGGGGCGAAATTCACTTAGCAAAATGTCTCACTTAGCAATAGAAATTTTGGGGCTCAGTTGTGGTCTTAAATCAAAGACCACCTGCACTGCTAACACAGGGACCAATTAGTTCTAAATAGGAACTAGCTCAGTTTGTCTGCCGCCTTCAAGGTGGTCCAGCAGAACCTGGAAGAAGCTGCCTGCCTCTTGAACCTCCTCCGGAGGGTCTCCTTGCCAATGAAAGAGGTCCATGCTGCTGCTTACTCGCTTCAGGATGAAAATCTGAAGTCCAAGGTCTACAAGCTCCGTCAGAAAGTGGCCGAACAGGAGAAGAAGCTCTACAGTATGGCCAGGCACTTGTATTCCACCGACCAACTCAAGGAAAACATGGAGAGGGTCATCATAGATCAGTTGGCATTAACGCACGATGTTTTAAAAAAGGTCAGGGGAACCTTGAAGTTCAGCCATTGGACAACAAAGCCCCACTTCCAGCCTCATCAAGAAGCGGGTTTAAGCGAAGGTTTCCAGGGGCCTGCAATAAAGACCATTTCCCTTTGCTGGAAAAAAAAAGAAAAGAAACTAGCTCAGTTACTGGAATTTTGTTGCCTCACCTGATTCATCTCAATAAATCACGCTAAAGAGTACTCTGCATGGTTAAAAAAAAAAATCACTTCTGTTTTAGGCGTCTGTCAAAGAGCTGATGGCCCTGTCAGGAAAGGCTGGTCCAGAGTAAACCTTTATATGGCTTTGGAATCAATGACTTAAATTCTTGATTTCAGCTTTCTTGGATTGTTTCAGCTTCGGGGGAAAGAAATCTTTTTCACTTGGGGTATTAGTGTTCTTCTATACACGTCACCTGGTTCACATAACACATAAGCTATGGCTTCTTTAAGAATTGTTTGTTGGTTAAGCCACAAAAGCTGGGTTTGCCAGAGCACCAGAGGGAGAGGAGAGGGTGTGTGGGGGGGGGGGAGGGGGGGGGTTAGATGAAGTGGGGGCTGCCTGTTGAAGTTCTGCTAAGGCAGCATCAGTTGCCTTCCCAGCTCTGTAAAGTCCCCACCTGCAGAATTGCAGAAGGTTTCCTTCGCCCATTTTTATAGCCAATGGATTACAGTGAAGGTTGTGAAGTTGTGAAGGTTGTCAAGCCCGTCGTTGTGTGACCTTACAACTTTTTTTTTTGCAGAGGTCATTAAACAAATCACCCTGGTCGTTAAGTGAATCCATGTTGTTAAGTAAATCCATTGTTGCTATGCAGTGTTTTTTGCCAAGAACTGGGAGCCAGGTCTGATTTTCAGCAAAAGCATAATAAATTGTGACCACCTGACTGCGGGACACTGCAACTAGCCACAAATGGGCTACTTATTTATTTTTCTTATATATGTACCCATGTATTCCTAACTATGTTTTTTTACTTATACCTGTTATCTTGTAAGCAATCGACAAAATAAGAATAAAATAAAATAAATAAATAAATAAATAAATAAAAAATACTTGATGAGCAGCACCCAAAATGTGATCATGTGATTGGTCAGGGGAGAGGACGGGAGGGAGCTGTGGGAATCTCAGAATTCACTCTACGCTCGGGGTGTCTGTTGTAACTTTGAACAGCTGCTAAGTGATTTGGTCATAAGTCAAGGACTATCTGTATAACTCTCCAACTGCCTGTAGCTGACTCCTTGCAGCAGGCCCAAGAAAGAACTCAGAATACGAACATAGATGCCGGGTTTCTTTTCATCCACCTTGGTTAGCAAATAAACCAGCAGCAGCAACAACAAGAGAACGAGTCAGATATAAAGCTAGCCCTGGGAGCTTTGCCTCTACCAGTGCTGCTGCTTTTATGTCTTTTCCCCAAACACCACCCACCCACCCTGCAGTCCACCCACCCAGGAGCCCTCCCCCAATGCAGGTTTAGGCCTCCTCCAATCCCCAACAGGAAACAAAGCCAACATCCGGACCTGTGGATGTTTGCAGGATCAGTCCTGCCACTTCAGCTACCCTTCCTTCAGCATTCCTCCAACAGTGGGCCTTCTTCTTAGTCCTGCATGCATCACACCCCATCGCCCGGTCCCTTATCTGGCGAGTCCCTTATCTGACCCCCGTAAGTCAGGCTGGACAATAACTCATTTCGGATGTAGGGAGAAGGGATCGGTCTGGAGCTCTGGTTGTTTTCTTTCTAAGCTGTATGGGGAGGGTTTTTTTTTTGTTTATTTTTGAGCAAATGCTGATTCTTGACCTATCCAAAGGGTCATAAGCACAATATGAAATAAATAAAACTTTCAATCAGCTTCTAGACTTTTAGGCTTAGTGAAGAGAAGGGCCAGGGGAGTGATGATAGCACTCTTCCAATATTTGAGGGGCTGCCACAGAGAGGAGGGGGATCAAGCTATTTTCCAAGGCACCCCAAGGCCAGAGAGGGAATAATGGATGGAAACTGAACAAGGAGAGATTCAGCCTGGAAATAAGGAGAAATTTTCTGACAAGCGAGAACAATCAACCAGTGGAATAGCTTGCGTTCGGAAGTTGTGGGAGCGCCATCAGTTGAGACTTTCAAGAAGAGATTGGACTGCCACCTGTCAAAAATGGTGTAGAGGGTGTCTTGTTGGGCAGGGGGTTGGACTAGATGACCTACAAGGTTCCTTCCAACTCTGTTATTCTGTTCTGTTAAAAGCCTGAATTTTTGCTAGGTCATCGACCAGTCTCATTTTAAGTTGGCTGTTCATTTAGCTGGCTGCATAAAAAGAATCTAGATCTATTTATCTGGGCCTCAAAACAGAATTTTACCAAGATATTAAAGGGGGGGAATGTTAGATTTTCCTCCTTTGGTGCCCTAGCCATAGGTGTCATTGTGCTGACTGCAGGGACCTTTTCCATTCTTATCAAGGGGAGTTCTGAGCTTCTCTTTTTTTCATGCTTCATGCCATTTAATAAAATCTGTCCTCGACTTAATGATCACAATTGGTGCTGGAGTTTCCCACCATAAATCATTGCAGTCTTAAGTCAGACCTTATCTTACAACAATTTGTATGGGGGTCATTAAGCAAACCACCGTGGCCGTTAAGTGAATCCAGTTCTCCCATGCATGCTTTTTTGGGGGGGTTGGAAATTGGCAAAAAAAAGGGCCACAAATTGTGATCACAAGACCACAGAATGCTGCAACCAGTCATGCGAGCCAGTTGCCAAGCATCCGAATTGCGATCATGTGGCCCCGAATTGCTTCCATGGTTGTAAGATTGAGTCCAGGTGATACGTCTGTCAATTCATAAAATATTTCTCTGGTCTTTTAGAGTTGCCAGCAGAAAGAGAGCGGGGAGTAATGTAGCAGCTTGCAAAACCAAAACTGAAAACCGAAAACATAGATGTTTTCATAGTTTCCAGGCGACCGAAGTTTCTGCAAAATTCTAACTGGAGGGTATGATTGATGACTCTTGGCTATGGATGTGTCCCATTGGAGAATATGAATTATGATACACCCAGGGAGTGGGGGAAATCCAGGGTCAAGGGTGATTTGACAGCTAGCCAACTCTTGCCAAAGTCACTTTTTCCAAGGCCATCATGACCTTGAACTATGGTTAAATGAACAGTTGTAATTCGAGGACTACCGGAAGTTGGAAGAAGTCCTGCCAGACTCCTCTGCATTTTTGCTACCATGCCTTAAAGTAGTTCCCCTCCCACCAAGGCCCAATTTGGAGGTAATTTGCAATTTTAATAAACAGGAATGCCTATTCACAAGGCAATGTTAATCCGTTTAAGGGTTCTGCATAGAATATATTCAAGAGTATAAATGCACAAGAGATAAAATGTTAAAACCAGACTATTTCCCCCCCATGAACCCAGTTTTCAAAGACATCTTGACAAGGTGACCTCAAGTAGGCACCAAAACAAGATTTATCTTAAATAAAAAGATTTATAGGCAGGGTTTTTTTTTTTCGGTCTCCAAAAAGGGGTCACAATGTAGTTTGCTACCATTATAGAAAAGAAATAACAATCTTCAAAGCAGTTACTTAGAAACCAACATAAAAAGACTTGGGGAGAAAAACAGGGCCGTGAAAAGCTTTGTACAATAAATCTCTTGGCTTGGCTCACCCAATTTTCCTGAAAGAACCTGGCCAAAACTTCCCAAGCTGATCGAATCCCTGAAAAAGAATCTGACTGGTATAAAATATTTAATCATCTAGCTCTCCATGGTAGCTCAAAGGAAAATTCGTTTTTGCATTTGTCTGATAATGAATCTGGTATAGAAGAGAGCGCAGAGCCAAGCACAAAAGGCTGCATTCACACACACAAAAATGAGCAGGATTTTGGTCACCACATTATAAAAAAGATGTCGAGACTCTAGAAAAAGTACAGGGAAGAGCAGCCAGGATTATTAGGGGACTAGAGACTAAAACATACGATGAACAGTTGCAGGAACTGGGCTTGGCTAGTCTAGTAAAGAGAAGGACCAGGGGAGACATGATAGAGGTCTTCCAATATTTGAGGGGCTGCCACAGGGAGGAAGAAGGGGTCAAGCTATTTTCCAAAGCTTCCAAAGGCCAGACAAGGAATAATGGATGGAAACTGAACAAGGAGAGATTTAACCTGGAAATAAGGAGAAACTTTCTGACAGTGAGAACAATCAACCAGTGGAACAGCTTTTTGCCTTCGGAAATTGTGGGAGCTTCATCACTGGAAGCTTTCATGAAGAGACTGGACTGCCATTTGTCAGAAATGGTGTAGGGTCTCCCGCTTGGGCGGGGGGGTTGGACTAGATGACCTATAAGCTCCCTTCCAACTCTGATTATCTGTTAAGCATCAGAATGAAAACTAAATTTCATTTACTTGATATTGTCTGTACGCTTATTATCTTTGCCCTGCAACTGTGTAATTTTTCCTCTTCTCACATTAAAAACCACGACTTGGTTCCAAATGTTGGGAACTCTCTAGGAGTCGTCCAAAACCTTGGCAAGTGACCCAGGTGGTCGTTTTGTGACATTGCTTTGAAAGACAGAGATGCAGATTCTGGGTTCACCAGTTAATCAGGGAGAAAATGTGGTCTATTATTTGGCTGCAGCTAGTCCTTGAGTTAAGACCATAATGAAGACTGCCCATCACAGTCATGACTTGTGACAATCATAAATCGGCTCACCCAGACAACTGATCGGATTTTACAATTATTTCTGCAAGAGCTGTTAAGCAAACATGGGAATAGGCATGGGAATTATGGAATGGAATGGAATAGAATAGGATGTGATTGGACACACAAGGAACTTGTCTCCAGGACATAAGCTCACAGTGTACATACAAACAACAGAGTGATAGGTCATATATAGATTATAGTTACAAGCAATAAACATAAGATACACCAACTGATAAATCATAGGTACCAATAGGAGAAAGTATTAGGCAAGGGTGGGATTCAACCGGTGTTACTACTAGTTTGGTGACTACGCACGCATGTAAAAAAACCTTAGGCTGTGCCACCCGGACAGCTGAAAAGTGTTGTGCGCAGGTGCGCAGCATTTGAAAATCCTCTTTTTCGTTGCTTTTTCAACCTCAGCTGTGCCGCGCAAAGCAGCTGAGGTTGAAAAAGCAGGAAATAAAGGACAGGAAAGAGCCCAGGCAGGCGGGTGGGCCAAACAGCAGCAAACACAGAACCGGTTCTATGTCTGCTGCTCTTCAGAGCTACTGGTTCTATAGAGCCGGGCAGAACCGGTAGCATCCCACCCCAGGTATTAGGAAAGGTGAGAAGGATAATGTCAATACACCTCCTACATGGGTAAATAGCTTTAGGCCTAAGACAGTGCTGTGTGAACCAGTGTGAACCAATGGTTCTGTGTGGGCATGGTTGGGTCAAAAATGAAGTGAACTTTTAGCCTACAGGTAGTCTTCAGCCTCTGGCCACACCTGGGACATGAACTTCCATCACTAAGCAATGCAGCAGTTCAGTGAGTCCCCATTTTATAACCTTTTTGCCATGGCCATTAAATGAATTTGGCTTCCCTCATTGGCTTTGCTTGTTGGAAGCAGGATGGGGAGGCCACGAATGATGTTCCTGCGACTCTGGAGCAGTGCAACTGTTATAAATATAGGCCAGTTATCGCTCTGCCACAACCATCTCATAAGGCCTTTTTTTTTTCCAGCAATGTCATAACTTCCAATGGCGCCTAAATGAATGAATGTAAGTCGAAGACTATTTCTAACTGGTAAATAACATACCTTGGCTTAAGGGGAAAGAGTTGCATGGAAATCTGGATCTAGATAAGCTACTTATACTCTGGAGCTTTGTACAGGAGGTTGAATTTTTGTTAGTAAATTCAATTTTCCATAGTAGTTAATCCCACATTTGACTCTGAAACCTTAATAATTCCTCCTTCCCTGCCCCCCACCCCCTGCAAATTCTATTCAGATTGAAATACTATATAGTATTATATAGTATATTATATAATGTACTATATAATATATAGTATAATATATAGTATATAGTATAATATATAATATATAGTATATTATATACTATATAGTATATTATATACTATATAGTATTTCTCCTTATTTATATGACCATCTGTGAAACTCTGCCTTGCAAGAGGATTTTTTTTTATTATTATTATTATTATTATTATTAAATCTTTAGTGAGATTCACACCCTTTGGGGCTGGTTGGTAGCTCAACAGCTCGAGTCCTAACCAAGGACCTAGGACCTGTTCAGGTAGCGTCGGGGGATATAAGGGTGATTTTTTGTAGAATCAGGGTATTCTAGTCTGATAAATTCAGGATTTCCAAATAGCGAGGTAGCCCTTTAGGTATTGCTCCAAGGGCTCCAGTTACAATTGGGATAACACACAATTTCTTTTTCCAAAGTCACCCAGCTTCAATTTGTAAGTCCCAATACTTTGTGATGTAAAATAATAATAATGATGATGATGATGATAATTATTATTATTTTCACCTTCACAAATAACCTCCTCCAAAATCCCTAAAGCAAACACTGCTGTATTTTTTTTTTTTTGCCCGCATTAATTACTCTGATTCTGACCAGATGCTGGGCTTTGGAAAGAGAAAGAAGGCCCAAATTAGAGCTTCAACAATTATGGCCTCTTTCCTTCTCCATCATTTCACACCATGAGGCAGCTTTCTCTGTCAGATCTGACAATTATTGAATACATCTCTCAGAACTGAAGTTCAAGTTGAAGTCCACAAGTCTTAAAGTTGCCAAGGTTGGAGACCCCTGATCTAGGGGACACCAAGTAAAGGAAGAAAACACAGGTAGTCCTCAATTTACGACCACAACTGAGCCCAAATTTCTGTTGCTAAGCAAAAACAGTTGTTAGGCGAGTTTGTCCCGTTTTGCAACCTTTCATGCCACAGTTATTAAATGAATCACTACAATTGTTAAGTTAGAAACACAGTTGAATCTGGCTTTCTCGTTGACTTTGCTTCGTCAGACGTTCGCAAAAAGTGATTGCACGACACTAGGATGCTGCAACCGTCATAAACACGTGCTAATTGCCAAGGTCCAAATTTTGATCCCATAAGCACAGGGATGCTGTAATGGTCGTAAGGTCATAGGTCACAGTGGCACAGGAGTTAAGAGTGCAGTACTTTAGGCTACTGCTGCTGACTGCCAGATGACTGCAATTTGGCAGTTCAAATCTCACCAGGCTCAAGGTTGATTCAGCCTTCCAACCTTCCGAGGTGGGTAAAATGAGGTCCCAAAATGTTTGGGGCAATATGTTGACTCTATAAACCATTTGAGAAGGTTATAAAGCACTATAAAGCGGTATATAAGTCTAAGTGCTATTGCTATTGCTATCCAACTATTTACAAAGTCTGCATTACTATTACTATTCATCTTCTCATCACTCCTTATCACCCCTCCCCTCCCACTTGTGACTGTATGACTGTAACTTGTCGCTTGTATCCTTACGATTTATATT